TTTTGTTTCCTATCTCTCTTATTTTATATATATCCTCTCTTAAAATTAGAACCCCTCACGTGTAAAGAGACAATATATGAGCTGTATATTTAGTATATTTTCCCTGAACAAGTGATTGATCTTTTAACCTTTCTGCATCGCATGTGCAACTGATCTTTCCAAAATATTTTTGCTTGCAATATCGCGATCATGGATAGCTTATGACTTCATCATTTATGTTTTTTGGAAAGCCTTATTTACTTCCCTACTCTAATGAACATATCTCAATGCACAAAAGATGAAGCAAATGTCTGGTGCAACATATGAGAAGAACATCTTACAACAATGCACTTCCTTGAGGTCTACCATGTGGATTGGGATTTATTTGGACAAATATAAAACAAGAATTTATTTAAAGTGTACCATAAATATTTTTAATATTGTTATCCGTCACAAAAGGTTATACATAAGAAATCCATTACTTTTATAATAATTATTTTAATAATCATACTTCAAATCATTTTTACAATTGCTAATAAAAATTGCGCTGATATAAAAATTAAAATCTTAAATTAATTACTCATGCTTAGTAGATTGTAAGAATTAATATCAAACATTGCTAACTATATATAGTGTTTGATTTTGTTTTATGACTAATATTTCAGGACAGAATGGAAGAAAAGGTAAATAAGGCGCACCAGGAGTGCACTTCAGATGGAGCTATCGATAGCCATGGTCATCCTGCAGTTCGAGAGAAAACTGGTGATTGGATTGCTGCAATTTTGATATTAGGTATCACTCAACTTCAACCAATAAACTATGTCAAACTCTCGTTTTCCTTATTCTCTCTATAAGTTTATTATGAGTTAAAATACGTGTGTCTCAAAATTTCTACTTAATTTTATGTACCAATTAGTTTATAAGAATAGTGTATTGAATGATGTTTATTTGGGTACGTGGGTACTGCAACAGTGAATCAAGGGCTTGCGACTTTGGCATTCTTTGGAGTGGGAGTGAATCTGGTGCTGTTTTTGACTCGAGTGATGGGTCAAGAGAACGCTGATGCAGCCAACAACGTGAGCAAGTGGACAGGGACAGTTTACTTATTTTCTCTTCTTGGAGCCTTCCTCAGTGACTCTTACTGGGGAAGGTACATCACCTGTGCCATCTTCCAGCTCATATTTCTCATTGTATGTACATATCCATTTCCACGTACACAACTACAATCTAATTAATCGTCATATAACTTTTAACTATAATATCATTTCATCTTAATTAGCATCATTTGGATTAATTTATTCATGTTCATGGCTGAATACGTATATTGATGAACTGCAAATACATATATTGTCAACAATAATGGCGGAGTGACATTTGTTACAGTGTGTTGCTACTCGCAGCTGTCTATGAGAAAAATTAAGTATGATTAATTGGAGATCTCAAAACTTAATGTCATTCTCCTTTATTATTTTTCTTCATAAAATAAATTCGTAATATGAAAACAAATTTCAATCAATAAGTTGTTCATGGGATGAAACTAAATTCTATGCATTAAACAAAGTCTCCATTCAAATCTGATAGATGATTAATTATGATAAAATTGGTAAATATTTGGTAAGTACACATATAATAATCAGAAGAAGAAAAAAAATAGTATTTTAAGCATTTTAAAAGTACTACTCTGTTTATAATTCCAGTATCACTCAACGTTTATGAGAGTTAATATGTTGTACGTAACAGGGTTTGGTGTCACTATCAGTGTCATCTTACATATTCCTACTGAAGCCAAGTGGTTGTGGAGATAAAGAGTTACCGTGTGGATCTCACTCATCATACCAAATGATTTTATTCTATGTTTCCATATACCTAATAGCACTAGGAAATGGTGGATACCAGCCTAACATAGCTACATTTGGGGCTGATCAATTCGATGAAGGTGATCCAAGGGAACAACATTCAAAAATAGTGTTTTTTAGCTATTTTTATTTGGCTTTGAACCTTGGGTCACTCTTCTCCAACACCATATTGAATTATTTTGAGGATGAGGGAGTATGGACTTTGGGATTCTGGGCATCAACTGGCTCTGCTGCTTTGGCATTGGTTTTGTTTCTCTGTGGCACACCAAGGTATAGATACTTCAAGCCTAATGGAAACCCTCTCCCTAGGTTTTGCCAAGTTTTTGTGGCTGCTTTTAGAAAATGGAAGGTCAACGTGTCGCAAGATGATAAACTTTACCAGCCTGATCAAGAATTCTCAACCACAGAAGGGAGAAATATGCTACACACAGAAGGATTTAGGTAAATAGTGAGATGGTCTTCAATCATAATTTCCTCTTTCACATATATTTTGTTCATTAAATATTCACAGATTTGATAAAAAAATTATTAAGTGACTTTGAACTATTACATAATCAAATTTTGGCAACTCACGGATGGAGTTCCCATTGATTTTGCAGGTTCTTAGATAAAGCAGCATTTATGACGACAAAAAATTTAAAAGAAATGGAGGAGAATAAATTCAGTCCATGGCGTCTATCCACTGTGACACAAGTAGAAGAGGTGAAATGCATACTGAGACTACTCCCTATCTGGCTATGCACCATATTGTACTCAGTTGTTTTTGCTCAAATGGCATCACTTTTTGTGGAACAAGGTGATGTCATGGACATTAGAATTTCAAGTTTCCACATTCCTCCAGCAAGCATGTCCGCCTTTGACATTCTGAGTGTAGCGGTTTTCATCTTCATCTATAGGCGAGTTCTTGACCCTCTGGTGGCCAGAACAATGAAATCAAGAGGACTGACTGAGCTGCAAAGGATGGGAATTGGCCTAGTCCTAGCAGTCATGGCCATGGTTTCAGCAGGATTGGTGGAGTACTTCAGGCTAAAGCATGCAATAGAAAAATGCAATGAATGTGAAGGGTCTAGTTCACTGTCCATATTTTGGCAAGTACCACAATATGTACTTGTGGGGGCATCAGAAGTTTTCATGTATGTGGGTCAACTAGAGTTCTTCAATGGACAAACACCTGATGGACTGAAGAGTTTTGGGAGTGCACTTTGTATGACTTCAATATCATTGGGAAACTATGTTAGTAGCTTGCTTGTTGCAATTGTGATGAAGATCTCAGCCAGAGATGAGATGCCAGGATGGATCCCAGGAAACTTGAATAAGGGACACTTGGACAGGTTCTACTTCCTCTTAGCTGCACTCACCACAGCTGATCTTGCAATTTACGTAGTAATGGCTAGGTGGTATAAGTATGTCAAATTTGAAGGGAACAATGAGAATCACATTAACAAACAAGACCCTGAATTTGGAGCCTAGAGATATTGTAGTGTGTAGTGGACTCTTTGCTGTGACACTAAAGAAATTCAATATTTCATTTCGCCTAGTGGAGCAAAGAAATTAACTACGGATTGAATGTGTTGGTGTATTATAAATAAAATTTTATTATTTCCTACAAAATATATTTAATTTGTTTTTTTTAATTCGAGAATTAATAATAAAGATGTTATTATAATAAACATAAATTTAAAATATTCTCATTTTTTTGAAAGAATGTTAATGTTGAATGTGCAGTTGTAGAATCTCACTTTATTCGTACGTCTTCAATAAAGAAGTTATATTCTTTATATTATTTAGGAATTGATATTAAAGGTAATTTATATACATCTTTATCTCTTAATTCATTAAAGTGTCTTTTAATTACTCATTATTAGACAGAATTCTCTCCTATTCAACTTCATATTTTTCAACCCTTTATATACTCTATCCCTCTCAAATATAAAAAAGAATTATATCTTTATAATATTTGTCATTTAATTATGACTGTACTTTTAATAACTATTTTATTTTTTATAGAAATTGGGTGAAATACTTATGAAGATATTTTGATACTCATAGATTGTGATCCAACAGAGTGATGGTATGGTGCATAAAATAATGCTGTGGGACACCTTTGTTTATAAAATTCTTCTCCGGCCCATAAAAGTATTTTGGGCCTAAGTCCTTGATGGGTCTAGTAATGTATTTATAATATATTTTAGTGGATAAAGAATTGTTTTATATATAAATTAGAACAAGGCCTAGTAGATCCTCGTCACCGTATATTATACATCACCTTTATTTTTTTAATAATGATTAATTAACAATCTATTTATTTCATATTTCGTATTCAGTTACATCGACTTCTAACAACACCACAGTCATACAAATTACATAAAGAGGCATTAACTGAACACTAAGTTATAATTAAAAAAAAAAGTTTTTTAACACATAAGATCTTATTTTAGAAATGCCATGATAATATATATATATATATATATATATATATATATATATATATATATATATATATATGAATCAAAAAGTTGAAAACTAAAATTCAATAAATATATGGCGAGATCACTACTTTTATATGCAATCCAAAGCTGAGCAATACAACTGCGTTGATCCCTTGTTATTATTATTACTTTATTTTCAGACAAACAAGAATGAACAATTTAAAGAAACATAAAAAAACAGTTGTCTAATTTATTCTAGTAAGTTACATATAATGATCCCATGAGAATTGTTTGATATAATTCTACGTGGTTGACTTTATCTTTTTCAATATTTTCATCTCAAACTCTTTCTGTAGGCAATCTATCATTTTCAAAAACAGTTTAAAAGCATTCACGTAATTAACCTACATAAAGACAAATCAATTTTCAGACTTTTTACAAAATATATGAATAATGAATCTCTTTTCATATTATTCTTGTTAATAAAATAGACACTCACTAAATCTATTGTATTACATACATCTTAGTTTTGTTAATGCACTGAGAAACTTATTCGATTTGAGCAAGTTAAATTCTTCATAGATTTTCACATAAGTGTCATTATGATGAAGAGAATCATAATTATAAATTAATTGCGTCAATGATTTATCATAAATTATTTAACCATAATATTATCCCTTAAAGCAGAACAGAGAACAGACAATCCTAAAAGAAAGAAAGACACAAACGGAAGGAACTAGGCAGACATGCAACCAATCCCATGTCTAGAAGTGGGAAAGATGAGAAACAAGCCACTGCAAACCAGTCCCACCATGAGAGGAAAACTCTCCCTAACCTGTTCCAAGTCCTTCTCATGCCCAGGGAACAAACAGTTGGTGACCCTGTGATCCGAAATAGCAATGGCCACGAAGATCATGACAGACATAACGGCGTGGACAAAGTCCGTAAAACCCACCTTGAATTTGTCGTCGCGGGGCACGGCCACGCTGGGAAGTGCGGGCTTGAAGACAGAGAGGCCACGTGTGGTGACAAAGCCGTAGTAGAGGGTTCCGTCCGGGCCATGGAAACTGTCGGTGAAGTGGAAGAAGAAGCAGGAAAGGGCGCACACTGCAAGGAGGAAGTTGATCATGAGGGTCTGCACGTGGCTGCACTGCCCGTTCTTGTAGATTGAGGGCAGCACCATTTCGAAGGTCAGGAGAGTGCCAGTGGGAAGGAAGTTGCCGAGGAGGGAAGTTTTGGATAGGGTTTTCTGGACACCCTTTGCCATCAAGGCACGACGCTTGTTCTGCTGGGGGTTCGTGTTTGTTCCTCCCTGTTGGGGTGGTGGAGTTACATTATACACTTTGATGCCGATTTCTTGTTCGGTTTGATCCATTGTAATGGAACGAGAATGAAGGCACGCAATGAAAAGAGAACGGTGAATTTGAAGTTAGAGTTTTATATAGAGTGCCATGGAATTCTGACAATTCAAACAGTTTAATCTAAGTTTAAAATTTTGGGACGGTTGTGACGGTTTATAAACTTGAAAAATGATTAACGCACACTCAGATATTTTTTAAAAGAGCAGTATTTAAGGTTGACACATCATAGTTTAAATCAATTATCATTTACTGAGGTGGAATATAACTTTAATTTAAGGAAATATAAAAACAAAATGAAGCAAGTGTATGCTCACAGTTACTTCTTGGAGAAATAGTAGATCGTCGCACTCCTGGAGACTTGCTTGGAACCAATTGTTTTCCGGAGAAAAACAGGCTCGCACTACCGGTACCTTGTCCTCGTGGATTCCTTTCGTCCGTTCCCGTGAGTGTTTTTATTTCTTTCATCCGTTCGATGACTTGTTTTGAATCCGCCGTTGTTATCTGTAAAAGGATTGTTTAATGTGTTAAGGGGGTTAGTTTTTGGATTGTTTAGATTATGCTATTGCTTGATAGATTGGAACATGGATGCCAATCTGTTAAAGTTGTTATTGAAATGATTGAGACCAAATCTTGTCTTGGTTGTAGCGTGTGACTATCTTTATTTACCCCAATGTCAAGGTGGGTCTGTAATCCATATCTACAGCTCTAGGAGAAGTGGGTTTTTTTTTTTTTTTTTGTCTTTGATTTTTGTTCAGAACAGTTTGGTTGATCTACATGCTGCTTGTGGTCAGAGTCGTAGTGCATAAAAGGTGTTTGAGTTAATGAAGGAAAGAGATCGTGGTTTGGAATTCTTTCATTAATGGGTTTGCTCTTAATGGAAGGCCCAATGAGGTCACTGTGATTAGCTTGTTATGTGCTTGTGTTGAGCTTGGAGTTCTTGAACTAGGACATATGGTCCATCTTACTCTTGTAGTTTACCAGATAACATTTAGACTTGAACTTGTTTAAAATTGTTCACGTGCAGAAAGCATCAGTTTCTCTAGCAAAAACTATGGGAAGAGGTGACTAAGAAACGCTCCATCTTGTAGAGTACTATATATATGTATTTATATATATCAAGCTTCCCTGTGTTTGTTCTCCTTGGTAAACCAACAATATATATCTTGTCTAAACTCCAGTAGTTTCTAGGTTTCCAAACGTTGGCAAACCAAAAAGGGGTAAACGCAAAAAAGGTCGGATTGAGAGAGAACTGTTTTGTTACTAATTCATTGTTGGATGTGTATGTATGTACACAGTGTAGCCATCAGGGAGGCCCAAGAAGTGTTCAAAAAAAGTAGTGAATGTTAGAATTAATTTAATTAATTCATTCCATTATGTGACTAATGTGAAATATAATAATGGACCTAAATGTGATTTAATAAAATATGAGGACCTATTGGTTATTATGTGAAGTTAGAATAAAATAAAGATAAAATAAAAATATTAACTTACGGTAACCAACTTGATGGACGTTGGTTAATAAAATGAAATAAGGGTTCTGTCTCTGGTGATAAGGTTTTTTCATGGTAAACCATCAAGAAAGCGAAGCGTGAGAAGAGAAAGAAAGACAAAGAGATAGATTGGGAAAATGAGATAGGAGAACGAAAAGATCAAAAAAAAGATTCTCATGAATCAAGGTTAGTATTCTTACTATGATTCATGTATTGATGTATGTAAAATTGTGAAAATCAATAATCTAAAGATCCTGTAGAGTAGTTTTCTATAATGAATTAAGAACGTAGGAAAACTACATAATGTTTTACATGTGGTATCAGAGTCCAGTTATTAGATTTATGATTTTCCTTTTATGAAAGTTTTTCCTAAATTATGTTTTTCTCAAATTAAGATAAATCCTAAAGGTTTTTTCTAAATTATGTTTTTCCCAAATTAAGATAAACCCTAATTATGAATTTAGGGATTTCTCTATCAGATTAGTATGAACCCTAATTTATTCTCAAATTTATTTTTCTCAAAAATTAAATAAAGGAATAAACCTAATTATGCTTTCAAGTTCAAATTGAAACTAATTTTATAGCCCCTATGCATGAATGAACCCATAATTGATTTTAATTGAAAAGACAAATTACATGATAGGGTTAGGGTGAATCATGTATGAAATTAGTTTTATTGTATATTATAATTATGATGAGATGTTATGATGAAATGTTATAATTATGATGGAAGAATGGTAAACTGTAAAGTTGATAAACTTTGCGCATAGAGAGCACGTGTTAAACACGGGTTTCATATATTATATTTTATTATTTATAATATTATTTTGTAAGTACATTTTTTTTTAGTGAAAGATAATTAAAGAGTTATTTCTTTGTTAAAGGTGCTTGTAAAACTTTGTTAAGAGTCTTGTAAAACTTTGTTAAAAGTCTTGTAAAACTTTATTAAGAATCTTGTAAAGCTTTGTTAAGAGTACTATAAAGTTTTGTTAAGGGTACTATAAAGTAATGTAAAGCTTTGTTAAGAGTAATGTAAAACTTTGTTAAGAGTATTGTAAAGTAATGTAAAGCTTTGTTAAGAGTAATGTAAAACTTTGTTAAGGGTATTGTAAAGTTTTGTTAAAGGTACCTTAAAGTTTTGTTAAGGGTACCTTAAAGCTTTGTTAAGGGTAATGTAAAGCTTTGTTAAGGGTAATGTAAAGTTTTGTCAAGTGTACTTTGTTAAGGGTACTTTTTTGTTAAGGGTACTTTGTTAATGTTATGTAAAACTTTGTTAATGTACCTATAATGTAAACATTGATAAATGAATGGATTTTGTTTTGCAAACTGAATTGTATTGTTTCTGCTGTGTTTAAATTACTCATAAAAGTTTTGAATGGATGACAATTTCACTTTTACGTGAAATGCAAATAAAGTTCTTGGATTGAAAATCAATCTTAGGATGAAAATTGAAATTATGAGTTTCAATTTTATTTATGGCACATAATATTTTATTATGTGAATAATGTACATATTTATTAAAATTAATAAAAAAAAATGCTATGAAGGGTTAATAGCAATTAAAGATGTTATTTATTTGAAATTAAGCATGATAAATTTTGTTAGTCACCAAAGTGACCAAAATTTTAAGGTTATTTTGATTTCAAATTATTAGTGATTTTATTTCAATTACCTATAGTATGAATGCTAAAATTATGAATAATGATTTATGGGTTAATTGAAGTTCATTATTATAAGGCATTTTAGGATCACCCAAAGGTTGATTAGTTGTTATTATAATTAATGAACATGAAAGTAGATAATTTTGTGTGGGTCACTAGTTTTATTTATATACCCAAAGGTATTAAGTGATTCTAGTTGATGCATATTTTAATTATCATTAATGTTATAAAAAGATTAGCGTAATTATGTTTGTGTATTAGTGAATCTCCCAAAGGAGAACATTAGTATGCATAGAATGATTATTTATGTTTGAATCTGTATTTATGTTTAGTTTTTATGACTCAAAGCGTTAATGTTAGGCATGTGTTAATTGAAATATTTGTTTATATATTTCTACATTCGCTTACTTAGTACTGTTCCAGTCTTTAATAGATTTAATTCCACGATTTGGAGTGAGAAAGTCCAATTTCACTTAGGTGAGTTGGATTTTGATTTGGCTTTCCAAGTTGAAAAACCGATCTGCTATCACTAATGCTAGTAGCAACAAAGAGAAAACTCATTATAGAGTTTGGAAAAGGTCAAACAGACTTAGTCTTATGTTTATACGAATGAGTATTGCAAACAATATTAAGTATGTTTTTTCCAAAACTAAGGACGTGAAAGAATTTATGAAATTTGTGGAAGAGCGCTCTCAAACTGCTGACAAATCTCTCGCTGGGACATTGATGAGTACGTTGACCACCATAAAGTTTGATGGTTCTCGTAGTATGCATGAACACGTAATCGAAATGACAAATATCGCAGCAAGACTCAAGTCTCTTGGAATGACAGTGGAAGAAAATTTTCTTGTGCAGTTCATTTTGAACTCGTTACCGCCTGAGTATGGTCCGTTTTAGATGAATTATAACACCATGAAAGACAAATGGAATGTGCATGAATTGCACAGTATGTTAGTTCAGGAGGAGACCAGACTCAAGAACCTAGGAAGCCACTCTATTCATTACGTGAAAAATCAAGGTGTTAAAAAGAAAGTTGTTAAGAAACATGGAAAGGGTAAATGACCATTAAAGATTAACGAGTCCTCTACTAACATTCAGAAGAAAAATGACAAATGTCATTTCTGCAGGAAGTCTGAACATTTTCAGAAGGACTGTTTAAAGTGTAAAGCTTGGTTCGAAAAGAAAGGTGAGCATAGTGCTTACGTATGTTTTGAATCAAATTTAACTGAGGTTCCCCATAATACTTGGTGGATTGATTCTGGATATACAACTCATGTTTCTAATGTGATGCAGGGATTCCTTTCAACCCGAACCATAAACCCAAATGAGAAGTTCGTCTTCATGGGGAATAAAGTCAAGGTTCCAGTGGAAGCTCTCGACACTTATCGTTTAATCCTTGATACTGAATCTCACTTAGACCTTATGGATACTTTTTATGTACCTAGTATCATTAGAAATTTATTTTCTTTGTCTAAGCTTGATGTTGCTGGATACTCTTTTAAGTTTGGGAATGGTTGTTTCAGTTTGTTTAAGCGTACTTCTATGATTTGATATGGTTAGGAGTATGTTAAGTAATTTATGTTTACCTGTATCGTTGTGGATGTATGCTTTGAAGACTGTCATGTATTTGTTGAACAGGGGTTCCTAGTAAAGCGGTTCAAAAGACTCCTTTTGAGTTATGGACAAGTAGGAAACCCAGTATAAGACACCTACATGTTTGGGGTTGTCAGGCAGAAGTAAGAATTTATAATCCGCAAGAAAAGAAAGCTGGATGCAAGAACAATCGAGTGGATATTTCATTGGTTATCCAGAAAAATCAAAGGGGTATATGTTTTACTGTTCTACTCATAGTACAAGAATTGT